TGGTGCTGAGGAATCGAACCCAGGCCCTCATGCATGCAAGGCAAGCGCTTTACCACTGAGCCACCTTCCCAGCCCTCTTGCTTAGTTTTCTTGCTCATATTATGCACTTCCATTGAGCCAAGTCTCCTGTCCGGTATTTTGCTTGTTAATTCCTAGACTTTTCTGCTCCAGCTGGCTTCGAACTGAGATCCTGCAAGTCTCATTCTCTTTAGTAGCTAGGTAGGATTACAAGCATGAGCCACTGGTCCTGAGCTACATTTACTTTACTAACCAGCATGCTGTGTGTATATGGGTTTATATAGGTTAAACTGATAGAACTGTGGAGACATTGTGAACACTCAAGATATTTCATGCTTGTAGTGCTAAACTGTCCTCCAGAACAGTGTCAGTTTCCTCTTGGGGAGGTGGTTCCAAGGCCTTCTGACCTTTCTTTTCAGGTGGCTCTGCAGGACCTTCAGACAAACTCCAAGATCGCCGCGCTCCTGCCTTACTTTGTTTATGTGGTCAGTGGGGTGAGTGATCATTCTGAGATGGGGAGTTTCGTGGGGAGATGACCCAGCAATAGTGGGTCACGCTCATGGCAGGTGCTAGCAGAATGGCAGCTCCCTCCTGTTCCCCATGTTTCCCTAAGCCATCTCGTTCTACCCACAGGTGAAGTCTGTAAGCCATGACCTAGAGCAGCTGCACAGGCTGCTGCAGGTGGCACGTAGCCTGGTTCGGAACCCACACCTCTGCCTGGGGCCCTACGTCCGCTCCCTAGTGGGCAGTGTCCTCTACTGTGTCCTCGAGCCATTAGCTGCCTCCATCAATCCCCTGAATGACCACTGGACTCTGAGGGATGGAGCTGCCCTCCTACTCAGCCATATCTTCTGGTAGCTACTTAAGAGTCTTGGGTGGATTGGGGTGGGATGTGGGTATTGAGAACAGGGAAACGCTTTCCTTTTTTTTTTTGTGGGGGGGGTCAGTTGTGGGGTTTGAACTCAGGGCCTGGGCACTGTCTCTGAGCTCTTTTGCTCAAGGCTAGCATTCTACCACTTTGAGCCACACCACCACTTCTGGTTTTTGAGTGGTTAATTGGAGATAAGTCTCACAGGGACTTTTCTGCCTGGGCTGGCTTTGAACCACAATCCTTAGCTCTCAGCCTCCTGAGTAGCTAGGAGTACAGGTATGAGCCACTGGCGCCTGGCTTGGATTTCAAACATACCAAGATTGCTGTGCATGTTGGAACACACCAGTAATTCCAATACTTGGGCTTGTGAGGCAGGAGTGTCACAAGTTCACATTCAATCTGGGCAATAAACACAGCAAGGTGAGCTCCATAAGGATCTTGTCTCACAACAAAAACAAGTCCAAAGTACTAAGGCCTGGATCCTTCAGTTCTGTCTCCTGGGTCAACCAACCTGGTAGCTTTGTCCACCTAGCCCATAGTGCCATACAAGTGCTAGTCTCTGTGTGTGGGCAGCATTATGCCTCATCTTTTCCCCTGACTCTTACTTCCACAGGACTCATGGGGACTTGGTGAGTGGCCTCTATCAGCAGATCCTGCTTTCCCTGCAGAAGGTCCTGGCAGACCCTGTGCGGCCTCTCTGCTCTCACTATGGTGCTGTGGTCGGGTTGCATGCTCTTGGCTGGAAGGTAAGCACCTTAACTTTATTTCTGTGTTGGTACTGAGGCTTGAACTCGTCATGCTCTTGCTTACCTTTTGTGCTCAAGGCTGGATCCTTAGAGCCACAACTGCACTTCTGGCTTTTTGCTAGTTAATTGGAGATAAAAGTCTCTTGAGGGCTGGGCATTGGTGGCTCACACCTATAATCATAGCTACTTAGGAGGCTGAGATCTGAGGATCATGGTTCAAAGCCAGTTTGGGCAGGAAAAGCCATGAGACTCAGAAAACCAAAAGTGGTGCTGTGGCTCAAATGGTAGAGTGCTAGCCTTGAGCCGAAGAGCTGAGGGATAGTGCCCAGGCCCAGAGTTCAAGGAAGTTTCTTGAATTTATCTGCCATGGCAGACTTCAAACCTTGAGCCTTAGATGTATGTCCTGAGTAGCTAGGATTACAGTGTAAGCCACTGGTGCTGAGCTCCAGTCTGACTTTTCTTGAGAATCATGAGTTGACATGTGTTGGAAATACAATGTCTTTTACTGTACAAGTGGCATACGCCTGTGCTGCAGTGCCATGTATTGAGTTGCTGTTTTAGGCTAGGCTTAGTAATGTCTTCTGTTTGTAAAGTGTTAATTCAAAAGTCCTGCTTGGCAGATGTTGATCTAAACCCATTTTATAAATTCTTGGGCTGGGAAGGTGGCTTAGTGGTAAAGCGCTTGCCTTGCATACATGAGACCCTGGGTTCGATTCCTCAGCAACACATAAGCAAAAAGAAAAAAAAGCCGGAAGTGGCGCTGTGGCTCAAGTGGTAGAGCACTAGCCTTGAGCTGAAGAGCTGAGGAACTGCGCCCAGGCCCAGAGTTCAGGCCCCACGACCGGATCCAAAAATAAATAATAAATAAATAAATTCTTGCTCATTTCATGTTAGGAAATAACTTTATCCCTCCTCTTACATGCATTATTTAATGCTGGTTTTGTGGTTTGAACTCAGGGTCTTGCTCTCAATCTTCGTATTTTTGGCTTGGGATGGCCTCTGATCTCCATCCTCCAGATTTTTTTTTGTCAGTCATGGGTCTTGAACTCTGGGCCGGGGCACTGTCCCTTAGCAATTCAGCTCAAGGGGAGTGCTCTTCCACTGAAGCCACAGTGCCACTTCCGATTTTCTGGTGTTTATTGGAGATAAGTCTCATGGGGCCAGGCACGGGTGGCTTACACCTGTAATCCTAGCTATTCAGGAGGCTGAGATCTGAGGATCACAGTTCAAAGCCAGCCCAGGCAGGAAAGTTCGTGAGACTCTTTATCTCCAATAAACCACTAGAAAACAGGAAGTGGCGCTGTGGCTCAAGTGGTAGAGTGTTCGTCTTGAGCTGAAGAGCTAGGGATAGCGCCCAAGCCCAGAGTTCAAACCCCAGGACCGACAAAAACAAACAAAAAGAGTCTCATGGGGGTTTCCTTGCCCGGGCTGGCTTTGAAACCGAGATTCTCAGATCTCTGCCTCCTGAGTCACTAGTATTACAGGTGCACCAATGCCTGGCATCCTCCAGATCTTTTTGTCCTGAATTATTCCCAGGTACCCATGCACTACTATCCCTGGCTTTCTATTAGATTTTCTAATAATAAACTGCCTTTGTTAATTCCAATAAGCAGTATTTTTGTTTAGTCTTAAGTATACTAAACTTTAAATCATTTGTCTAGATCCATAAATGAAATCATGTTTCCTATTCATGTATTGTTCTTGTCTAAGCTATTAGGATTATACTGGCCTCACTGAATGAGGAATTTTTATTTATTTATTTATTTCTGGTGTGGGGCCTGAAAGCTGGTCCTGGGCACTGTCCCTCAGCTCTTCAGCTCAAGGCTAGCGCTCTATCACTTGAGCCACAGCACCACTTCTGGCTTTTTCTGCTTATGTTGTGCTGAGGAATCGAACCCAGGCCCTCATGCATGCAAGGCAAGCGCTCTACCACTGAGCCACCTTCCCAGCCCTTCCAGGGTATTTTGTTGTTGTTGTTGGTGGTGGTGGACATGGGGCTTGAACACAGGGCCTGGGTATCTCTGAGCTCTTTGACTCAAAGCTAGCACTCTACCATTTTGAGCTACAGCTCCACTCCTGGTTTTCTGGTAGTTAATTGGAGATAAGAGTCTCATGGACTTTTTTTCCTGCCTAGGCTGGCTTTGATCCTCAGAGCTCAGCCTCCTGAGTAAGCTCCCAGCTACTTTTAGAGTATTCTGAACAGAGCTTTCCAGAGTCTGAGGCTTGGGTATAATTTTGTTTTTCTTGGTGCCTATCCTGGGGCTTGAGCTCAGGGTGTGGGCATTGTGCATGAACTTTTTTACTCAAGGCTAGCTCTATCACTTGAACCACAGCTCCACTTCCATCCTTTTGGTGGTTAATTGGAGATACAAGACTCACGGGCTTCCTCCTTCAGCTGGCTTTGAACTGTGAGCCTCCTGAGTAGTTAGGATTTTAGGTGTGAGCCACGGGTGACTGGTGAGGTTTGGAAACATGGGGTTTGAGGACTAAGCAGGAATCTGCTGGCAGACAGAAGAGAGTAATGAGGCATGTACTACTTGCCTGGTCAGGGCATAGCAGCCTCCTGATTGCAACTGGAGCCTCTATGCTCTGGTTTCCCTGTCTAAATAAACTTCTTGTGGGGTTGTGCAGAGTTGGGTATTGGGGAGTGGGCTGGGGAGACCTTTTCCACCTCTGACCACTTCGTGCCCAACCTCCCACAGTACCCAATGCAGTGTCTTCACTGACAGATGACCTGCTCAAGTACTATCAGCAAGTAACACGGGCTGTGCTAGGGGATGACCCACAGCTGATGAAGGTGAGTGAGTGGGCCTGAGCTGAGGCACATTTGACTTTTGTTGGGCAGAGTTTTGCTTTGTATCCTAGGCTAGCTTTGATCACACAATCATCCTGTGTCATATATCGTGTTGGGGTAAAGGCAAACTTTTATTGTTTTTTTTTGTGTGTGTGCGCGCGTGTGCGTGTGTGTGCGTGTGTGTGCGTGCACTGAGGCTTGAATTTGGGGCCTTGTGCTTTCCATTGGCTTTTTCAGTCATAGCTGGTGCTCTACCACTTGACCCCATGCTTCCACTTCTGTTCCTTTGCTCCTTAATTGGAGACAGAGGACTTATCTGCCTGGATTGACTTCTCACACGTCAGCTTCCTGTGTAGCTAGATTATAAGTGGGAACCACTGACACCCAGGCTTTTGTTATTAAAAAATGATCATAAATCAATTGTATAGATGGAGTTTCATTGTGATACTTACAACATGCATGTAATGTACTTTGAACAAATTCACCCCAAAGTCAAACTTTTAAACCACATGAAATTCTGTTTCTGCTGGTTGTAGACCTTGAGCTCTGGGCCTGAGTGCTATCCTTGAACTCTTCAGCTCAAGGCTAGTACTTACCACTTGGGACACAGTGCCACTTTCACCACTTTTCTGGTGGTTAATTGGAGATAAGAGTCTCATGGACTTTCCTGCCTGGGATAGCTTTGAACTGTGATCCTCAGCTCTCAGCTTACTGAGTAGCTAGGATTACAGGCGTGAGCCACCAGTGCCTGGCCACATGTAATTCTTTCAGTGGCTTACTTCCTCTTCCCTCCAAACTGTTTAATAAAGGCGGGACTTATTTTGTTTTTTTTGTTTGTTTGTTTTTGCTGGTTGTGGGGCCTGAACTCTGGGCCTGGTATCCTTTCATTCTGCTGCCTACTCTTCAGGGTGTTGGGTGATTCTGGGGCCAAATGGGACATCCACATTGTAGCTCTTATTTATCTGGATGTAGGCAGGGAAGAGGATATAGAGGGGGTTAAGTTTGAGTCTTAACTCTTACATACTGCAGGCCCACTATGCTTTGGCTTCTGGGCTCCACAGGGTCTGCTGGACACCACCTTAGTCTCTATTCTTTTAACAGGTGATTGCTTGTAGTTTGCTTAGTCATGTGGGCTCTCTATGTGTGTTCGTTTATATTATCTTTTGTCTTTACATGTTTACTGCTGTTTGTCTTGCAAAATTAGGAGTCATGCTACTATTTAGTCTTCAAAAATTTACTTTATTCCTCAGAAACACACACCTGTATTCTCAGGTAGAAGCAGGAGAATCTCGTTTTGTGTCTGCCTTGACAAAGCAAGACCCTGTCTTTTTGATGTTGGTTGTGCAGCTTGAGCTCAGGGCATGAGTGCTGACCCTCCTGTTTTCTCGTAGTTAATTGGAGAGAAAAGTCTCACAGACTTTCCTGCCTTGGCTGGCTTGGAACTGTGATCCTCAGATCTCAGCCTCCTGAGTAACTAGGATTACAGGCGTGAGCTCCTAGCACCTGGCTTAAGAATTATTTTTTAACTTTGACTGGTATTGTAGCTTGGTAGCAGGGTTTTGTGCTCTTTTTTTTTTGTTTTGTTTTTTGGGTCCGGTCGTGGGGCCTGAACTCTGGGCCTGGGCGCTGTCCCTCAGCTCTTCAGCTCAAGGCTAGCGCTCTACCACTTGAGCCACAGAGCC